TATTTAAAGGCTCTTAAGATGAATGCATTTTATAAAACTTACATAAATTCAAATGAGCTCCAATTTTAGTGCTTAAAAAAGGTCTGAGGGTAAGGAAGATAAAATAAGTTTTTATATGCTATAATTTATAATATCTTTGATAAACTCATTATTATGAACTTGGGTCTTTAAAAATGAAATTCTTAATAAACAAATAAAAGAAATCCTTTTTAAGAATCTAAAAAAACCAAAACCTCTTAATAACTTGACAAAATGTTTTAAAAAATAATCTTCCTAAAACCTAAAACTCGAACTCAATTTATTTAATGAAATTCTCTTGGAAATAGTAAGAAAGCACCTAAAAGAATAAAAACATTTATGTTTAATTGATCTATGTCAATTGTAGTTGATGATGAGTTAATTTTTGTGATGGTTCAGGTTATCTATGGTTATTCATAAATCAAGTTTGTGGATGTACAATAGACTTTATCTTGATAGAAAAAGAATCACTAAAGAGTTCTTCGTGGAAGTAACATCTAATCTTCTAACATATCTATTTGAGGGAAGGTTTCAGTATCCATGTTCAAAACATAGAAATACAACACAGTTATCTGGATGAAATCAGATATGATTTATATTACCAAGGATTAAAACTTGTTTCTTGAATTTAAACTTCACATGATTAAGTTGACCCTACAACATGTAACTTTGCTCCTTCAATGAGCTACGACCCTCAACCTTAATTTCAATCAAGTTGATTTGAATAAATGTTCTTTGAATGTATAAGATAATATTAACCGAGTCGAGTGAAGAAAGATTTACCAAATCACAAAGCTCAAGAATTTTATGATTTACTAAATACGGCTCAAGGTCATTTTAGGATAGTTACACATGCCATTTTGAGTTATTTCTAACTCTCAAAATGCTAAATTTTAAAGTTCATTTTAGCATGCCTAGAGAGTTCTTTGATCTGTTTACAAGATTTTTTGAAAGAGAAATCCGTAGAAAAATTTATTTTTAGGAGAATTATACAGGATGAAAAAGTTGTTTTCTCAATTAGGGTTGAAAGCAGAGAATATTGATTGATGTGTTCATGAATATAAGCAATTTTACAACTCCAGTGAAGTAGAAACTTGTTGTGGACTCTATCACTCTCCTATATTTAAGCCTTAAATTAAAAAAAAAGTATGGGGCAGAAGGATATTCCATACAAGTGGCTCTTTTATCTACCGCTTATTTCATGTCTTAAGAGGCTATTTTCTTCTATGTTTTTTGCTCCGCATATCATGTGACGTTGTAGCATATCAGAGAAAATCAACATAATGAGACATCCTACTAATGGAGATGCATTGAAAAATTTTGATCCCAAGTATCCTGAGCTCGTTGGGAAGGCACATAATGTGCAGCTTATCTTATGCTCAGATGGTTTCTCACTGTATAGTCAGAATACGTCGCCATACTCTTGTTGGCCAGTGATCATTAAACCATACAACTTGCCATTTGAGATGTGTATGACTACACCATAGTTATTCTTGATATTAAATATACTAGGCCCCAATAGTTCTAAATGTAGGATTGTTGTATACTTGTTGCCGTTAATAGATGAGTTGCATATTATCCAGGGAAGCACTGTCACAATATTTGATGTTTAAATGAAACTAAAGTCTTAAATGAAAGCATCATTATTGTGTAAAATAAAAGATTTTCATGTGTATGAAATGTTTTCTAAGTGAAACTATGAGGGAATGTTGGCTTGTTCATATTGTATAGATTCATTTAATGCATTTATGCTTCAACATGACAAAAAGAATTCATTGTTTGATTGTCATTTTATGTTCTTGAATGTTTAACATCCTTTTAGGAAAAATAAAAATAATATTCAAAAGAAACAATATTGAGAAATCAGCACCTTCTCCAATAATATCTAGGGAAATTTTATATTGGATTGTTAGCTACATTCCATTGATTATCGTTAGCCTTGAGCTTTCTTCATATCATCCACCGGGCAATGGTGTTACTCATAACTGGATAAAAAAATCCATTTTTTGGGATATGCCTTACTATAAAGATAACATGATCATGCATAATCTTGATTTCATGCACATAAAGAAATTTTTTTTATCATTTCAAGAAAAATTGTGTTGGATTTAAGGAGAAAAAGTAAGGATAACATGAATGCCAAACTAGATATGAAGAAGATTTAAGTCAAGAGTTAGTGGTCTGAGAAACTATTACTGGTATGATTATCGAAGTGAAAGTAAAATACTCTTTTTCTTTTGAACAGTGGAGATCAATTGGTGAGTTTCTTTAAGCATTAAAATTACCAAGAAGATATGCTTCAAATTGAGTCGTTGTGCTGATTTCGATGGAGGAAAGATATTTGAAATGAAAAATAACAACTGTCATATTTTGTTCCAAAAATTGATGCCAACTGCATTTTGTTGCGTACCAAACAACATACTATATCTACTAATTATAATCAGTGTGCTCTTCAATAAACTATGTACATTTGATTTAAAACTTGATGGCATATGACAGTTTGAAGCAAACATTCTAGTAATAATTTACAAGCTCAGAAGAACATCCTTAACTAGTTTCTTCAATTCCATGGAGTATTTGTAGATGCTTCTACAACACGAGGCATTAGTTGGAGGTTCATTACAATATCGTTAGATGTATCTGTTTGAGAGGAATATAGTAATGCATGCACATTGTAGTTACTAATTTAAAAATATTTATTTAAAATTTTAATAAAGAAATATTTTTAATAGATTTTTGAAATAGTAAAAATAAACCATGAAGAATAAATTGTGACCAAGAGAATCAATTTATGAGACATTTTTACTATAGAAGATCATCACTCTCTGCTCCTACTAGTTTGAGCAAGAAGAATCCACGAAGGGTCATTGGGCGTAGTGCCCCACACCCCCCCCTCTTGAGATGCTTTCTATTTTTAGCAATTAGGTGAAGCATCAAAGAGTTAGTGGTAAGTCAAGAGTTAGTGGTCTGAGAAACTAATACTGGTATGATTATCGAGCTGAAAGTAAAATACTCTCTTACTTTTGAACAGTGGAGATCAATTGGTGAGTTTCTTTAAGCATTAAAATTCCCAAGAAGATATGCTTCAAATTTGAGTTGTTGTGCTAATTTCGATGAAGGAAATATATTTGAAATAAAAAAAAAACAACTGTCATATTTTGCTCCAGAAATTGATGCCAACTGCATTTTTGTTGCTTACCAAACAACATAATATGTCTACTAATTGAAATCAGTGTGCTCTTCAATAAACTATGTACATTTGATTTAAAACTTGACGACATATGACAGTTTGAAGCAAACATTCTAGTAATAATTTACAAGCTCAGAAGAACATCCTTAACTAGTTTCTTCAATTCCATGGAGTATTTGTAGATGCTTCTACAACACGAGGCATTAGTTGGAGGTTCATTACAATATCGTTAGATGTATCTGTTTGAGAGGAATATAGTAATGCATGCACATTGTAGTTACTAATTTAAAAATATTTATTTAAAATTTTAATAAAGAAATATTTTTAATAGATTTTTGAAATAGTAAAAATAAACCATGAAGAATAAATTGTGACCAAGAGAATCAATTTATGAGACATTTTTACTATAGAAGATCATCACTCTCTGCTCCTACTAGTTTGAGCAAGAAGAATCCACGAAGGGTCATTGGGCGTAGTGCCCCACACCCCCCCCTCTTGAGAAAAGAGTTGCACACCACGTTATCTAAATGATTAGAAACTTTGAGCAGAGATACTTTATGCTCTTCTCAATTGTGATGAAGTTCTTCCCTTTAATGAGTAAGACATTTTCTATTAATATTTGTTCCCCATTTTGTATGGAAATATTATGATAAGCTAATTTATAATCTCAAAGTGTGAACAGATTATTTATAGATTTATTAAATTCAGCTGAAGACAATATCACAAGCTAGAAGATAGAGAATAATTTTCCTTAGTGGCTAACAATGCACATAAGTTAAAATTTGGCAAAATTGTTACTCATGTCATAAATATACTTATAGGTATCTTCATTGACACAAAATTTTATGTGAATAAATAGATTTATGAATAGAACAATGAAGTAACAGGTCAGGGCTAGATATATATTTCTTGGGGACTCACGTTCATCATGAAAATTTAGTAAATTTACGTACATGATTCATACGATATCCTATTTAGAATGAAAAAAAAAACTTATAATTCTGTCATTCATGTTAAAGCAAATAATAAATCAGAAGACGAGATTGATTATTACGGGATTCTCAAAGAAGTTGTTAATTTATCTTATCTTGGCTTCTTCGGAGAGAATGTATTTCTATTCTAATATGATTGCTTTGATCCTGTGTCCAATTATGAAAAAATGGTAAACTAATCATATAAGATCATATAAGTAAAATGAAAAATAAGGTATGCTATGTTTAATCATTTAAGTCTGACAAGACAAATAAGTCTAGTATATTATATTTTATATCTCCATAGAACAAGAGATAAACTTAACTATGTTTAGAATAAAATTGAAACCACTCATTAGGAAATAGAAATAAAAAAAATTATGCATTCACTCAAGCCAACTCATGACGAGATCAATTTAGAGGATGCTAGTGGTGAACATGAAAAAATGAGTATCAATGAGTATGACTATGACGAGATTTTGTATGAAAAAATCTTTCCCTCATACACCTCTAAAGACTCATCAATTAAGGTTAATTAAGATCTGTAAGTTAATCGTACTGTGTAATTTTATGTTTTCAGTTTCAATAATTTGGATATTGCATTCACTTTATAAATATCTTTTATATTTATCACGTACACTTATATTTTTAACTTTTAGTAGTTTGTTGGTTGCGTGCACTTTACAGCTTCCTTTATGTTTACTGCATCCTTTTGTATGTTCAACTTCAATAGTTTGTAGATAGCATGCACTTTACAACTTATCTTTCTAGTTACTGCATAAATTTATTTATGTTGTTTGAGTAGTTTGGAGATTGTTTTTTATAGTTTTTCTTTATTCTATATGGAGATTTTTTTTGTTTCTAAGTTTTAATAGTTTCTAGATTGCATTCACGTTACAGTTTCCATTATGTTTACGTAGTACTTGTATGATTTTAGCTTTAATATTCTATAGATTTCATGTACTTTATAGTTTCCCTTTCTAGCTACCACGTACTTACCTATTTTTAGCTTTAGTTGTTTGTATATTATACTTTATAATTTCAATTTTTGTATACTTACACTAATTGATTTTCCCTTCCTTCTTGTAGAAGGATTTTGAAAAGACGGGAAGTCTCCCTTATATTAACGGACGTGGCACCCTAAATCACTAAAGGAAGTAGAAGCTCACTAGCCAATGGTTATAGTTGTAGTGCTGACAATGTGAGCACTCTTGGCATACTGGCATCGATTCCAGATTTGATACCGACACTGACACCACCATCACCATCAGCCGTGAATTTCACACTAGCACCACCATCAAATCTGACTACCACACCGACACCACCATTAGTTGTGAATTCAAAAATAACATTGCCACAAGCTGCTCTGATCGCACTGGTATCGTCACTCTTGATACTGATGCATCATCCAAATTAAGCACCACCTACAACATTTTTCAACTTTGGGATGTGGGGTATATTTAAGTCTTTTTTATTTATTGATATTAGTTCTTTCATTTAATTTAAAAAATAAATAATGACATGTTGTCTCTAGTTTTTCTCACCACACCCATGTTATCTATTCCATTTGAGACAATATTCGAAGCATGTTTGACATTCCTTACTTCTTACAGAAGGAGGTTCCAATCCCAGTTCAAGAAATGTGGTTTGAAGAGTTCAAGGTATATAATGAACTCAATTATATCTCTCAAGTTCTATCTATGTTTATAAACCTAAAATTTTCTATTTTATTTTGCAGAAATAATGATATTGGCCTCCTGAGAAGGAGGAGGTCCACATCAAAAAAATCTTTGAGTGCAAGGTGAGTGATCACCTTTATGATATGTTTAGTGACAAAAAAAAAGATGTGTCAACACCTCTTGTGGCATAACAAAGATGTGTTTACTTCTATCCTCATGCCTTGGGATTCTCTTGGGTACTTGAAGAAAAAAGGGCATGACAAAAGTAATCACCTCTTTGACTGTGAAGGCATGAGGTCCTCCAAGTACACCGGTGAGGCAATGTCACCTATAGAGAAAATAAGATTCTTGCCAAGTCTTAATTTTTGCCTAATAATTTACTGTACCTTAAATTTATGAAAAATTATTCATTACTCTAACAATCTATAGAGTTTGGATGAGACCCATCAGCTGCCAAGCTACATCTCCCACTCATAAGCAACAGTTAGACCTCACCTGGGTGGAAATCATATCTCAAACGACCCAAGAAAATCAGAAAATTAATTAGTATAAAATTCATATAACCATAAAAGTTTGTCTAGCCAATAAATTTCATTAATCATGTTGTTTTGCAGGAGAACTTTTAGAGGATGAATGTGAGTCGGTTGCAACAGCTGAGTGGTATTACAATCATAGATCATAGTATGTCCAACTATGACCTGTGAAGGGGGTTAGCTGGTGGAAAGAAAAAGGGCCAAGTTTATGGTTTAGGGTCTTAGGCATCGACCTACAATGTCTGTCCCTCCAACTCATCTGGTGCATCAACATCTACTGCCTAGAAGGAGGAGCTTCATGGGTAGGTGGACATGTTGACTTCTAATATTAATGCCAGACTTGTTGCTAAGCTTGTTTCACAGATCTCAACTTAGCTAAACCAAATAAGATCAGACATAGAGTTGAAGATGAAGATGGATTTTGATCCAATATTGTGGCATGCTCGATGGAGAGAAAAGTGGCCAAATGAGGAGCTACCAGATGAGGAATGACCATATGAAGATGATTCAAATGAGGAAGATGATGAGAGGAAATATAATGAGTAGATACATATTTTTTCATGTTTGTTTATTGATAACAATTATTTCAAGCGAACATCATTTTTTATGTGCTTATGTTCATCTTTTTTGTCTATTTATGGTTTACGCATTAATTTTTATTGCAATATTAGTTTAATAACCATCTCAATTAGTACAATATGCTATATTAAAATTTTAATGTTATAATTGCAAGGCTGGAACATGTTGGGTTGAAGAAGTATATTAATTTTTTTTTGCTACAGTTTTTTGACGGCTTGCGGTTAGTTTTCTGATAATTTTTTTTTGTCAAATCCTACGATATGAAATTTTTAGTTATTCATATGATAGAAAAATGATAGTGCTATGATGAACAATCATAATTTCTAATGGCCTCCAATCTAACAATATAAAATAATATTCTAAACTCTACTTCAGGTTTCCAAAGGGTTAGATCATCGGTCATTACCAACGAATACTAACGGCAGTGCTACAAATTTTTGATGGTTATGAAATACTTTTTTGATGGTTTTATTATACTAATCTAACAAACACATCATTAGTTATACTGTAGGTGTACCAACATTTCACATTTTAGCCTATAACGACAAATTTATTTCGTTGGTAAATTGTCGACTTAACACTGCCATTACCAGTCTCTAACATGCTTAAAAATGCTTAATTTTTTGTATACATTTTATGCTCACTTTTAATGATATTGCACTTTAAAGGAAGGTATTTTGCATGTTTTGTTTTTCTAGGTACAATTGGAGAAAATGAAGCATAAATGGTGCAATTTGAAGTCAAATTGAGTAAGGAAAAAAATTATGACCCGGTGCATTTTAATATGTATTTCTATGATCAATATCCTTTACATTTATCACATATGTTTGAATGAAATTAAAATTTAAAGAAAGATTATTTTCATGTTTAACATGTAGGTATAATACTTGGAGCAGTTTGAAGATGAAACGAGGTGAAACGGCGTAAAACAAGTGTGCTGCCACCAGGGTGGTGCCAAGGCACTAGATATGGTGCTTAGGTGCTAGTCTTACCTAGAAAATGGTGCGAGGCACCCATTATGATACCTAGGTTCCATAAACAGTTATGGATGGGTTATAGACACCCCATGAAGTTTTTAAGCACCTTTTACCACTTGGGAAGGCACCTTTTGGCATTTCAAACTCTTGGAACTTCCAAGAATGTCTAGATGTCATAAATAGGATAGAAAATGTAGATTTCTACCTTTTTAGAGAGATTGGTGAGGAATTTTTAGAGACAATTGAAAAGAATTGTAGAAACTTTCCGTGATAAAAAAGAGACTTCGTTGGGGGGATTTTTATCTTTCTTTTAAAGGAAAAAACTAAGTATTATGTTCTTCATTATCTTATTATTATTGTAAACACTATTCTAGTGAATTTGCTTTGACTTAAAAGAATTTTTATTGTGTTCTCTCCATTCTTAGAGAGTAGTTTTCCTTAATCCTTCTTCTTTGGATGAGAATTAATTATGTGTGGGATTAGAATGGTTTGAAGATTTCTTTTATTCCAAAATTGTGATGATATTTTCACTGATTATTAATTTAATTTGCAAACTAATCACTTATAATGTTAAAATCTATTCCAAAATATAATAACCCAGGATGGCTATGATTTCACCTAACTAGTGATTACAACACAAAACCTTGGATGGAGGGGATGCCACATCCAAAGGGGAGTGCAAATAGATATGGACATAAGTTTTTATGGGCATATAATTGATAATTCTAGAGTGACAGGCTAGAATCTTTATCAATTGATCTTAGTTCAGAACCTGAGTCTCTGGTTGGTCTTATAGAGAGGACACAGTGGAAAATCTGGAAGTGAGAAGCTAGAATCCACTCAACACAACCATACAATCAGAAACTTAACTTTAGATTAGACAATGTTTTTTATGCACTTGAGAGAGGGTAAAGAATAGGTATGCTTTTATTTGTCACAAAACCTGATTTTTATATTTAAGAATTTGATTTCTACACTGATTATGATCTTATTGCAAGGGGAAAGGGGTTCTAATTATATAAGAACTTTCCAAAATTTACCCAGTCTTCTTAGATTTTGATTTATTTAATTTACTTAACTTTATCTTTATAGTAAATTAGTAAATTTTGGAAAACGAAAATTTTTAAAAATTCTAAACTAAGGCATAATAATAGTAGACTAGAATTAGCATAAGGAACTTCGTACTCTGCTTCCTTGTGGGATCGATACTATAGTTTTTAAAGAAAGTCTTATATTACTTAAAATGATATGTATACTTGCATAGAACCTCTAATGTGTGAAATATAAATCAATTCTAATCTTTATATCATATTCATTTTGCACACTAGCAGCTTAAAGAACCAAGGTCAACTTTTTGGTCACGAGACTAAATAACCGCATAATTGAGGGTAGGGTCAAGTTTTTCGTACCATTGTTGGGGATTAAAATTGACATAATTATACATATATTTAAATGCTCATTCTAGGAGGCATCATGTTTTTGGCATTGTTGATAGAGAAGCTACGGTAAGAACTTTAGAATAATTTTAGCTGAACTTGTGAGACATAGGTTTATAAATCATAGTGTTATTATCTTATGCGATTTTGTGTGTTTATTTTAAATAAAATCCAAAATACCGAAAAGATTTTTGATATTTGTCCTATTAGTTAAGTCCTTAGATTTGTATGCGTAGTTCAGGATCTACAGACTTTGGATTATAAAATTGGGATCTAGAGAGAACTTTTAGGGGGATTATGAATCAGAAAAGACTCCATAAATTTAATTTAAAAATGATAGATCAACAAAATAATGAACATTCAGTTTTGGATTATAATGCTAGTCATTTGAATAAAGTAAACCCTAAGAGGGTAGATAATCAAGAAGATATGTTTACTATTTAACTTCTCAGACTGTAAAAATTATGAGAAAATTAGATCTATATATAGAGAGTAATCCTCAAGGACCCCGAGTTATTAAGGAAAATTTATTTTGACAATTGATTTGAAACTAACTCTTTCAAAACTAGCAATGAGATATAGAATCCTTATTCCAATTGTTACTAACCAGATTAGGAAATTTGTTTGATCTTTCATCGGAATAGTAATTTTGGAGGAGAAAACCAATTATGGGAAGATAGTCAATTTAATTAGACTTGTAATTGGAATAATCAGGGAAATTTTATCATTGAACTTTCTTTCCCCCTAGATTTAAATTTGATCCACAGAAGAGAGGAGGATTTATTTGAAGAGGTTGTTATTCAAATAGAGAGTCAGTTGGAAATTCAAGGGGCTACAATAAAAAATATGGAAAACCAACTAGGGTAGATTATTAATTAAATTAACAGTTACCCTCCAGAGATTTTACCTAGTGACCTTGAGATAAACCTTAAGTTGAATAATGGTGGGTAAGATCATACTATTCAATTAAGGAGTGGAAGAGAATTGGAGGATATGATGCAAATAAAGAATGAGTTGAGAAAAGAGAAAAAAGAGATTGAAAGACCAATGGAAGAAAATCCTTCGAAATTAGAAAAATCTATTTCATCAACCAGGATGAATATAGAAAGACTAGTTCCACCATTTCTTTAGCCCCAAGGGGATGAATTAGAAGATAACTTGAGATAGAAGAGTAATTTAGTAGAATTTGATCCAAAATCTGAATCATATAGAGAGAATCTGATCTACAATTTAGGAGATCTTGAATTATCATATAGAGATTCATTTCTTATAAATTTTAAGGATGCTATTAATATGTAAATTGAGAAAATCATTAGAAGAATATTGGATCTTGAACGAAACTTTAGGAATAATAATTTGAATCAATCAGAAAATAATATAAAACAATCTAAAAAAGAAAAGCTGAGAGAAAAATTGAACTTTAAGGATTTAGTAGGAATCCCAATTTCGGTCGCCAAATTAGAAGTTGTCGGCCACCGGAATGAATATCCCAATGCCCGGTTTTAAATGAAGTTTAATTTATAATTTGGAAAACGTATTATTAAATTTTTAAAATACAAGACTGAACTGATCTAATATCCTCAGTAGTTTAAAAACATAAGCCTAATATCGTAAGCAATGCATCCATTCCAAAAAATAGCACACTACTTACTGGTGATACTCGATTAAATAAACTAAAGAATTTATGACATCCATCTAAATCTGTGAAAAACCATTTTTTTTATGTTGACGGACAAGTTTCCTTATTTAATACAAAAAAATAAGTAAAGTTTATATTAAGCTGGGTTCATAAAAGTTTCCTATAAGGGCAAGCCCCTATAGTTAATTACATCTTAGATAACCAAAGTCACCTAAGAAAACTCGATAAAAATTAGGGGATATTGTATTTAAGGAGTTCAAGGGGATAGGACTTTCAAAAGATCAGACAAAGTGGTGTAAAAGGGGAATGACACAAATTTGGAACATTTTATTTTGAATTCAAAAGGAAGAAGAACTTGGGGATGTCTTGGATCCTAACGAGAATTTCACTTACTTTCTAAGCTATTATATTGTTTGGCTTCAATTTTGGGAAGAAAAATTATCGAATGTTTCATTTCGCCAATTTTATTAATTAGGGCTTACATTTATGTGAGACGGTCACACAAAAAGCTTGAAAGATGTGAGCATTTAGGTCATGATGAACGACAACCTTTGAATCCTAAGGTAAGGGCTTAAATTATATAACAGAGTTATATAAAGGCCTAAAAAAGTTGAGGATTTATGTTGCACCAGGAGGACAACCTCGAAATCCTATGACTTATTGTTTAATTTTAAGAAAAGATGTGTTATTATAGATCCTCATACTGTTGCAGATCCTCGTGCTATTGTAGATGTTTGCTCACAAAGCTAGCTCCAAGCTCCTCGACAAAGTAGCTGTCCTAAATTCTAAGGTTCAAAAGGTTTAAATGACAAATTTAAAGTTCAATAAGGGGAGGGGGGTTAAAATTGATTAGAGTGACACCAGTTATGATCACATGGCTCCCTTATTCCAGCATCACTATTTTCTTTTGAATTTACTTAGCTTAAACGAGTTGTGAAACCCATTTAAATCGAGGAGATCTCGTTAGCAACCGTGG